TATATGTTTACAAAAAAGAGGAGGCTCACTGTTAAGAGGTAAAACTTTATTGGGGTTTTGTAAGAACATGGAAAAGAAAAGACTGAAATGCTCAATGAAAGGCACGGCCACAATCACAGCCAGAGAGACGACTGAGTGTCATTGTGTTTACACACCAGCAGCAGCATCCAATCTAAGGCAGACAATCACACAAGACATGTGCTTTAAACTTCTTTCAAATAGACACGACCGTATTGTGCAGACTTTGAGTCAGTCGACTGTAGTTTGGTGCTTTTGAGTGTGCAGTAACGAGGCCCTATCCAACACCTCCCTTTCATTTTGTTCCTCCCATTGTGGCTGAATATGTTTCAAAGATCCTTCTCTAACTCATCCTCTCATTTCGATTACTTCCTCCAGACATATCTGATCTTGAATGAAAACCTTTGAGCTGAAGCTTTTTAAACAGATGTCCACCTGTGCTTTATAGACGGAGGAAGGAAAGGATTGTGCACATGGGGAAAACACTTTAGATCCAACTGCCATTTCTCTTTTTACAGCCTCAAGACACTTTTCCAGTTGCTCTTCTCATGGTTACTATGTTTTTGAAGCATCTAGTGACAAAGAAAGCATTATATACAGCAGAAACAAGTTCACCAGTTACATCCCTCTATCTGATGTGCGTTATGCTTTATAGTTTAAAAGAGAGCAGGAGATGGAAGCAGCGTAATACAGCCAGCAGCACATTTAACAACAAGGTTAGATATTGTGAAATATGAGTTATAGCATTCTCCACCAGTAGTTACCACAGATAGGCACAAATAATGACAGTAATCGTAGTGAAATTCATCAGGTACAGGTTTTGTGTCTGTTTGACTGGAATTGAAACAATTAATGTGCAACCACACCTTGATTCGTTTATCAAACACGTCGGAACAGCAAGAAATATTCAATCCAAATCTCCAGTAAAAAGCCCAGTAAGAAGAGACCAATGTTTAAGAAAGAGAAAATAAAAAATGGCCAACGACTTCCAGTTTATCAGCTCCAGTTTCAACCACACGTTCATCCAGACCAATTCACAATCACACACATACAAAAAAAAACAGCTACCTACAGTATCGATCAATAGTTTGAAGCCTTGTTGTGTCAGATAGTGGAAGTCTGGGCTGTGCTTTCTCAGTACTCCCAGAGGGTGGCGCTGTCCAAGGAGTCCACGCTGGCCTTCAGCCCCCCAGCGTGGTCTCCTTTCAGGTACTTGCCCCCCAGCACACGGATGGCCATCTTGTTGAGGTCACAGAACTCAAACAGGAACTGGACAGGTGTGGAGCTGCTGCACGCCACCGCCGTGTCGTCTCCAACGCACCAGTACTTCCCCTGAGAGTCTGGACACACAACACACACTTAGTGAAGCCCGACACACACAGTGTTGGGTGATGTTTGCCTAATCAAGCGTTAAAACTCAGCTTGTTATCTTAAAGCTAAGGTCCACAGAATTTTCATTTAAATATTTATGAACAATATTTGCTTTATTTAAGTTTTCTGTGCTGCTGAATGTGGTTTCTTCTCAGGAGCTGGTTCTTGGTGATAGTCGCTTGCACAAAGCATCAGCCGTCGTGTTTATAAAATAACCCTGTGTGATCAGAGCTACATCTTTAATGCAGACTGGATGCTATAGTCTGTCAATGTCAACCCTTCATTCAGTCTCGATGAGTAAAGGAATGATGCATGAAGTTGCTTCAGGATTTAAAATAACATGCTAACATTGGCTATGTAGCAATACCTGGACTGGTTTCTGTGAATACCACATCAGGTCTACCCACCTTTGAGGGAGTACGCTCCGTTGTGGAACTCCAGCTGGAAAACATCGTAGGAAGCTCGGTTAGAGTCCAGGGTCGCCATTCCGGCTTTACGAGCCCCGATAAAACCGTGCTCCCCACGGAGGACGATGATTGGCCGGTTGATCAGTTTCATCAGAAACTGTTCGGCTTCGCCTGCAGAGACAGACGGAGACGTGTTAAATCTATGTTTCCAAAAAGGCAGAAGACCTTTGTTTCTTTCCTCCTCTGCTTGTTTTTATAGCCAGATCAGAAGAAGTGTCACTGACCTGCGTTGTCGATAGTGGCAGCCAGCTGCCCGTTCCTCTTGGCGGTCACATACTTGCCGTTAGCCGCACGCACACACACACGACCATCACGCCACTCCAGTTCAAAGTAGCTGTTGGCTGATCTGTGAAACGAACATGAAGGACCTCAGTGAGGGACGGTTATGTGTGTGTGAGATCCACTGTGCAACACGTGTGTGTGTTTACTTGGTGGAGGCGGTGCACTGCAGTCCTCCTGTCGCTGTCAGTGTCCAGTATTTCCCAGCAGCGGTTCTGAAGGCACACTTCCTGTCCTCACGACTCATCTCCAACTGGAAGACTTCCTGGTCGCCTTCCTCGTCCTGATTGGCTGACAGGTCCATGCCTAGAAAATAGGGACAATGTGCTGTCAGCTCTCATTTGTCTCTGGAGGTTGTCGTCCTTGTCTGAAACGCTGCAACCCTTTAACTCATGAAGTCCCTCGGGTCGACTCTTAAAGGGACAGGGCATCTGACCTCTCTGTATCCAGCTGTTAAAGGTGGGTCCACACTGATATGTTGTATGATGGCGCCCACACAGGGGAGGTGTCGATACTGAACGAGCCAAGGTCAGACGAGCAAACGAGCACGATGAAGTCTGAGTGAGAAAATACGTGTGTTGAATTGATTAGTCAAAAACGCTGACCAGAGCACTGCACTGCATTCTGGTCTAACGAGGATACTGCGGAGAATTTCATATTTCTGCTTCTTCTCTGATGAATTCCCAGAGGGTCACACTTGAGACTTTTAATTGCATTTCAACAATTCCAAAAACTAAAAATGCAAAAGAGAACATCAGTCTGAGCTATAGGTACAAATGTTGAACATAAATAACAAGTTCAAGGAAAGCTTTTCATAGCCACACACTTTAAATACTAAATCATGACAACAATAAATGTTGAATGGACTGGACTTCTACAACTATCAAGTCGACTTAAAGCGCTTTACACTACATGTCACATTCACAGATTCACACACTCGTTCATACAGCGTCTTTACGTCACATGCACACGACTAACAGAGTGGGAAGGATTGTGTGTCTTGTGGACTGGAGAAGTCGGGATCGAACCACCGACCCTCTGATGAATAAACGACCCATTTTACCTACAATCAGCAACCTGGTATCAATGATGTGAGCAGTATTGCAGCAGCTGATGCATGAGAATAATTTGATGAGCCACAGAGAGTGAAGTGATAGAGTAGTCATTTGACTGTTTACCTGCAGGTAACCACAGCCTGCTCAGTCGTGAATGGTCAAACTAGAAATGGAAACCAGTAGACTGCTGGCACCAAAACTTTATCGCTCACCTGCAGAATCTGTTTATAGAGTTAGTCGTTAATACATTTATGGTAGCTCCTCTTCAATTGATTCAAACATCTGTGAATTTCACCACAGATTATTCAGAAATAATCATTTTGCTCCTCAATAGAAAATGGGCGTTGGCCAAACATGGACGTTTAAAAGCGAAATCTAATTTTGCTATAAAAATGCCTGTGTATGCAAAGAGGGGTCTTTCTGTCCTGGTTGATTTTGCTGGACTAAAGTGTGGAAACCACAGTTTGTCTTTTGGAAAGAAAGAAAATTGTGAAGTACAACACGTTCTCCAGAGCCTGTAACACATGTATTACCATCACGGCTATGGTTTCAAAAAAAGAGTAGCTCACAAGTCACTGCCCCCGATACACTGAAACTATCTTCCTTCTTCCGCAGTCCATCTCATGTGGAATGCACACACACACACACACACACACACACACACACACACACACACACGTCTCTCCATGACTTCTGAGGACATTACTTTGATCTACATTGATTTTCTAGGGACCCACTCCCTTACTCTGACCTTAACCTAAACCTAAACCTAAACCTAATGTAACCAACTCAAAATGTAATGATTCACGTTATGGGGACTTGCTTTTTGTCCCTATGAGGAGGACAAGTCCAACATGAGTAATACTTGGACCACACATAAATAAAAGCATTTTGATTGCATGAACAAAATACTGCCAATGATCAGTGGCAGCACAGAATGAGAGCGAGCGGCGTTAAGACAAAGAGGTTGCATGTGGCATGAAAGACCCACATTCCGCAGGATTGTCTGAGTCACACCTCCCTCTCTGTGGCCTGTTTTCTCTTCTTTTCCTCTCCTCCATTGTGTCCCGTTTCTGTTCTGTTCCTCAACAAATCCCTCCTCGTTTTCTGTCCCTTCCAAGTCTATTTCTGAGGTAAAGAATGATGGATAACTGCAGACTGGGAGCTGACCCTGAACCAGCAGCCACAATGCAGGGGTAGAATTACTGCAGGAGAAAAATGTTAGGCAAGGCAGAGGCTGCATGGGCCCGAGAGGAGGGGGGGAGAAAGTGAGAGCATGGTAATGTAAAACACATGGTGTGTGAGGGAAATGAAGAAGCCTCTGATTCCACACACACACACACACACACACCAAAAGCCATGCAACAGCTGCTTGTGGTGTGGGCCCAGTTATGCAGTGACTTCATCAGCATGGTGAAATGGTGAAATATGATTTCTTTCCACATCAGTGTGTGAAAGAGGGAGATAGAGAGTGTGAGAGAGAGAGAGACAGAGAGAGAGASAGARGGAGGGAGAGTGTGTGTGTGTGTGTGTGAGGGACAATTTGATTCAATACCATCATTGTGAGGACATTTTGACTTTGTGGGAACATTTGGGCTGGTCCTCAATTCAGGGGTTAAGACTTGGTTTTAAGATTAGGGTTCCAGGTGTGTGTGTGTGTGTGTGTGTGTGTGT